ACCTACCTGAAACTGATGTCGTACAGTGCTTCAAGCATAAACTGAAAGGAAGAATAAGAGCTGAATATAAGTACCATCTCCTTTGTCACTCGCTCAAAGTATTCATCGCCCGGTGGTGCACCAACGATGTCCTAGCTACCATTGATCAAGACGAACTTATAATATCGCCAATTTTTACTTAAATGGACAATAATTTTCAGCTGTTTTTTTAGAATTTTTTAATATATGTAATAAACAATGAGATTATTTTCATAATAAAATCAGACATTTGATTTGTTCTCGAAATCGTTTTTCTGTATATATTCGATTATAATTCTACTCACCGTCTGTATATTTTGCTATATTTACTCGAATGACTAATGTTTACCTGTACTGTTAATTTATACCTCGTTTTTGTATATCGATATTTTGTACACGTTATATTCGATTGTGTTTTATACTTACTGATATATGATTTCGTTTGTATTTAAACTAGACAATGTTATCTGATTTTTTTAACCGAGAATAAAATATTCAAATGTATGTATGTATGTATGTATGTCACTTTTTTGTTCCACCGTTATCTCAAGAATCACTAATCAAATTTTGGTGAAACTTGGTACATAGATGCTCTGGGATAATGCGCAGAGTTGATTAGGTTTTGGTAAAAATCTATGAATATTAATTACCTAATTTGCATGATAATTAGCTGATTTTTAGCTCTTCCAAGACTGTTCCACTGATATCTGAAGAACCACTCATTGGATTGTGATGAAACTTGGCACATGGATGCTCTGAACTAGTGCGCAGATTTGAGATTTGATTAGTTTTGGGTAAAAATCTATGAATATTAATTATCTAATTTGAATGATAATTAACTGATTTCAAGCTGTTCCATGACTGTTCCACTGATATTTGAAGAATCACTCATTGGATTTTATTGAAACTTGGCACATGGATGCTCTGAACTAATGCGCAGATTTGATTAGTTTTGGGTAAAAATCTGTTAATATTATTAATTACCTAATTTACATAATGATTAATCAATTTTCGGCTTTTCCACTGATATCTCCAGTACTAATCATAACATTTCAATAAAACTTGGTACATAGATGTCATATGACACTGCACAGACCTGGTAGTGTTTAGGGTAAATCAGTACATATTAATTACCTAATTTGCATAATTAATTAAATTTCAGCTTTTGATATTTCGAGTAGTAATGATCACATTTCAATGAAACTTGGTACATAGTTACTTGAGGACTGTGCAGAGACCTAATTAGTTTTTGGGTAAATATTTGTGCATATTAATCACCTTATTAGCATAATTAGTTAATTTTCAGCTTTTCACCTGATATCTCAAGTACTAATCATCACATTTCAATGAGACTTGCGACATTTTCTAGGACTATGCAGAGACCTGATTAATTTTGGGATAAATAATTGTGCCTATTAATAACCTAATTTGCATAATTAGTTAATTTTTTGCTGTTCTGTGGCTGTTGCACTGATGTCTATAAACCACTCATTGGATTTCACTGAAACTTTTAAAGAGTACCCATCACATTTCAATGAACCTAGGACTATACACCATATTAGTTTTTGGTAAATATTTATGCTTCTTAATCACTTAATTAACATAATTAATTAATACTGGTATCTCAAGTATTAATCATCACATTTGAATAAAACTTGGTACATAAATGTTTTAGGACAATAGACAGCCTGATTAATTTTGGGTTAAAATCTATTCATAATCTCTCTAATTAGCATAATAATTAACATTTTTTGGGTTCTAATCACATTTCAATGAAACTTGGTACATTGTGCAGACCTTATTAGTTTTACACTTAAATCTGTTCATATCAGTTACCTGATTTACATAATTAGTTTTCAGCTATTCCTTCAATATCTCAAGTAAAAGTAATTTTGAATTAATTTTTAATGTGTCTTCAATACTCTCAGCACACGGGAGTTCTTTCTAAGCTTTCTTTGATTATGATTAAAATAAAATATATTTTAATGATTCATACTACTTATGTGATTTTAGGTTTATATGTGCTTATATTCAAACAAATATATAATACACATAGTAATGACTACCGTAAAATCTGTATTAGAAGCCGCATCCCGAATAGAAGTCGCACCTATTCTTTTTGAACAGTTAAGAACCAAAAATTCATCATTTCTCAAATGGGTAGGTGCTCTAATAGAAGCTGCATCCCCTCTGCTGCATTGTACCATTTTAATAGAGGCCACAATTTCTAATAAAGATTTTACAGTACTTTGTTCATTTCATTTGTCTTTGAGACTGTTTTACTGGAATTTGTTGTTTCAAATAATCACTTAGCATTACGTAATATAATTAGTTATTCATTAACTAGTTCAAAAACAAATTAGTAAACAAACAAATAAATTAGTAAACAAAAAAATAATGTAGCTCCATCTTTATTTGTAACTGTTGTAGCACTGTCAATAGTTTTACAAAGACTTTGATAAAGCATTAACTTCATGTGATTGACAAGAAGTCACCAAAATTCCACAGTGAAGTTGGAGAAAATATTTTGCACACGTTGATCTGTTTCACATACTGTAGCACGTTCTACAATTACATGAGTTCTATATTTAGTAAGATATTGTAATAGTGAAACACTTTTGAATAAAATTATGCTGAATACAATGAACGCAACAAGCCATTTCTTTCTATACACAGAACCCAATGTACCTGGTGCGGTGACGGCCGGTACTCCAACCTCAAACAGCGTAACCATTGTATGGAGTGAACCAGATGGAGCCTTTGAAGGCTATGAAGTAACCGTAACTAAGACTGACGATGGCTCAGCAATCCTAGACCAGTTCGCTATTAATACAGAAACTGCATCATTAAAGTTAACGGAACTGTTACCAGAAACTGAATATTTGGTGGAAGTTGTTGCTGTGGTCGGTGCAGGGACATTGAAAGTTGTTAGTGATGTGGTATCTGTTACTGTGACAACTGGTAAGTTGGGCGATCACTAATATTTTAATATATATTTTCCCATTTACTTCGTTCTACATAAAATCAAACGTAAAAACAGGAAAAACGAAGCATATTAGTTTATATTATCATAGCCAAGACTGGGGTTGAAAATGGACTGGGTCTTTTTTCATTACAACTATCAAATCTTGGGAATTTGTACCTGTTTAGTAGTTAAATAGAATGCTCAGCTCAGTTTCTATGGAAACTACTCCAAGAAAAATAGCCAAAGGAAAAGAAAAACTGTTTCAGTTCCTTCTTTCTATAGAAACAAATTCCAACTTCTTTCATTTGTTGAATTCAAAATCATTTACCTCCTTGCATGGAATTTCATCTTTGCTTGTCCTCTACCCCAGACTACTCAGTTTTCAATTTCTAATATACATATTACCTGCTGTGTTGAACATTGTAGCTTCAATTGAGATGATTTTTGGAGAAACCTTAGCTCGATACTGACCAGTTGATTATCAGCAAATTATAATTATTAATCAGTCAGGTCCTGCTTCTCAACCCTGTTTGTAATGATCATTGATTGAATCATTCTGATTGATTGATTTTTGATTTTGTAACAGACCGATCTAAAGTAAATATTAATGAGACATACACAACCACTTCGTTGATCGTTGAATGGGAAGCGCCTGATCCATTACCATTACCATTGACATATAGAGTTACTGTGACTCCCCCGGAAGGAAATCCTTCATCACCGATAATGGTAGCCGCAACCGAGACTGCACTGGAGATTATCGATTTGACTCCAGGACAAGAGTACACCATTACTGTGTACGCAGTACAGAATGACTTGACTGAGGATGAAATTGGTACAGCAGTACAAAGAATAAGTAAGTTGTACCCTTGTGTTATATGGAATTCAGAATCAATGGGGAGACGCATGCATCTCTAAATCATTATTTTTTGTTCTTATCTCACCAATACGTCATTCGTCTTTGTAGATTTAATCTTCTGAACAGCATCTTTTGTCACCTTTTACAAAATAAGGTTTTACCATTTGTTTCAAATAGTTTGACCAATATCTGTAGTCAATGGGTAATTATGTACATTTTGTTCAAAAATAAATATGAAATTATAGAAAAAATTGCAGAATTTTGAAGGGAACAGTTCTGATTATCAAATAGGTAATCTTTTAGGAAACTATTTAGTGAATTAGACATTCATTACACATGTACATAGTGCTGCAGTGTAGTCCTAGGGCTAGACAAGTTCCCCTTTAATACTATCATTGTATTTTACAGAACCAACTGCACCAACTGGTCTGACTGCTGGTGATACCACATTTAGCACTATCGACTTCACATGGAACTTTTCTCCTGGAGATGAGAATTTATTTGATGGCTTTGAGATTGAATATTCCCCAGTAGACGGTCAAATACCATCACCGTACTACCACGACGATTATCTACCGTTTGAACTGACGTTGACTGGATTGAATCCTAACACAGCGTATACAATTAATGTGTACACTGTCAGCGGGATTGGTAGCAGACCGCAAAGAAGTAATCCCACCTCTGCCACCTTTTCTACAAGTAAGTCTTCATTTCAGTTATTCCTTCTATGACATTTCTAATAGCTTTCATTGTGATCATTGTCTGAATCCAACGAAACAATGACATGAACAACCCAAAGCTTGAAAAATGCCACATGGTTCTATTGTATTGGAATAGTTGAACAGACATTGCATTCCATTCCACTTGACACATATTATGTGATGAATATGAGTTAAGTTTGAATAAACAATGTAATTACTAATGAATTTAAAATTTACATTTATATTTCAAATGTTTATTTTTTATTTAATTTTTACGACTACAAGTAAGTCAGTGTTTAATGATTTTTATAGTTAACTAGCAAAGCATGCGCTTGGCTGATATGTCTGTGTCTTTGTATGAATAAGGAAATCGTTTGCGAGGGAAATGTGCAATGCAGTAGTTGCATGCTAAATTGCATGGCAAATATTTAAAACAATAGAAAATGATTCTAAGCTTGTCTGCCAATATTCAACTTTTTATTATTTAACCCTCTGAGCGCATCATTTTTCAAAATGTTGATGAATCATTTTGCTGTTTTTTTCTATCTATATTTTTTTTGGTAATTTTGGATCAAATGGACATACTTAATAATATTAAAAAATTGTAGAAAAATTGTGTTTGGGAATACCTTTATGGCAAAGGTTGACTCAAAGGGTTAAAAGGTATTTCCCGCATAAATAGATGGCTAAATTAGCATAAAGTATATAATGTAATTTCGCAATGATTTTTTTTGTACATTATTACTTTTGACATTATGCGATTTTCAAATTGCTTTTATTGGCTAACAACAAGCTGAAATAAAGCAATCTGCGGTATTTAGAAACAGTGCTTTGCTAA